ATTTAGAAGAGTGCATATGGAACGTCTAAATATTTTTGATATGGAGAGTGTATATGTCTCTGACGTCATCGATACTCTTTCCGCCTTTATCTCGAAAGTTCTATTCTCACTTACAAGTCAGAGTTATCTTTCTTTGCCCATTGTATACACACTAGGTAAATGGGGAAAATGACGGTACCTAAAATCTAGAAAATGCGCAATCCAATTTTAAAACAAATTATATATTTAGTATTTGTAGAATAACCTCTGTTATACATAATAATATCTTGAAAAAATATTAAAAAACAAAAAAGTTGAAAATTGACCAAACACAAATTCACTTCCGGTTCGGACAGGAAGTACCGGAAACACACGAAAACAACTTCGAAACAAAGAGAATGTCATGATCTAATACTCCTGTAAATTTCACATCTTTACCTCAAACCGTTATCGAGAAAAATTCCGGACAAAAGTCCATTTAAAAATTGGAAATTCGGCCGTAACTTCGGACCGGAAGTGAATTTGTCAAAAAACGGAATTTTATATAAACTTCATATATCAGCCTACTATCATGTGAAAAATTGTGAAAATCTATCCAACCATCTCTGAGTAATCGCGCTCACAAAATTTGGGAGGAATAATAATAATAATAATAATAATAATAAAAAGAAACAATACAATCACTATAAGTCTTCCGTTGTGAACGGAAGACTTAATAATAATAAAAAGAAACAATACAATCACTATAAGTCTTCCGTTGTGAACGGAAGACTTAAATAAAAAGAAACAATACAATCACTATAAGTCTTCCGTTGTGAACGGAAGACTTAAAAAGAAACAATACAATCACTATAAGTCTTCCGTTGTGAACGGAAGACTTAATAACTAGAAACTCATTGCGAGCAATGAGAGGTCTTCCGTCCGATTCTGAATAAAAGAAAACTCAAGCTGAAAAAGTGATAAAAGAAATTCAGACACTCTGAAGATTTAACCCTGGTCGTCAGCCTGAAAATCCAACGTGCTTACCATTAACCATTCCCTGTTTTGCATCACTACCTGTCACGACCGGAAATAACGGCGATACAAGATTTTCTCACGATTCAAATCAACTGATGACTGACTATCAGTCCTGAAAATTTTAGACTTCAGTCGTTTACTGTTGCCGAGCAATAGACCGGAATTTGACGTTTTATTTCCGGTGGAATCTAACATATTTCAAAACAGCGAAAGAGATGCAGTAAAGTGATGCAAGTTTTAGTTTAAAAAAAAAAGAAATGAGCGCATCCTCTGATCTAAAAAATAAAACAGGTTTTGTAATCCTCAGAAATAGTTCTATCATTTAATAGTTGCACATTTAAGATAAAAGGTTACGCTCTATATTAAATATCGAAAAATAGCTTTAAAAGTTAGCTGTTTTGTAGGAATTTTCAGGATACAAGGAAAATGACGCATTTCATGACGTCTTATTGCATAGGCTAGCCAGAAAATTACGTCATTTTTGATAGATACGCAGTCATCAAAAGTCCAAATAATATTTAACGCATTGTCAACTAAAACCAAGCAGTTTCAGTTTTTCTGAAATTCACAGGGCCAAAAAAGGCCCGAAGTGAACCTTGTTCTTTAATATTGAAACCACTACACTAGCGCAATGTACCAGCCATCATTGATGTTTACCTTGCACTCATTCCCTGAAGTAACGAGTGTCAGGCAGGTTAATTTTGTTTTCTTATAGTGCGGAATTATAGGATGAAAACTAGCCAGCTAAATTTTGTGCAAGTGCTAGTAGATTTACATCGGATTTGTTACTTGAGTTTTAACAATAACTGATAGCAGAGAAAATAATCTGTTACTGATAAAAACTAAAAAAAAACTATTGTGTTTACTTCCTTTATTCTTTATGCATTCAACTTTCTATTCTATGCAATTCCAAATACAGACATGTCCATGTAGTCTTTTTCTGTACTTCTACACTACTGCATCAGACCATTTGTGAAAGGCGGGTCAAGATACATTATTTCGCGCCAAACGTCACGAGTAAATCTTGGCACCTTTTCTTTGAAATGTGTCTTCAATTGAATAAGTGTACGTGATAGCTTCAATGAAATTAAAAGAAAAAAATATGTTGCCATAGCCTGATTTTCGAGCCTAAGAATGTTTATTTATCACACTGTACATATAACATATCATAATATATGGGCAAGTAACATAAAGGCAGCGCTAAGTTTTCTTACACATTTTATTTTCCTCTTTACCCCCAAAGTGGACTATTCCAGTTAGTAACACATTAATGAAAAGACTTGAATGTTTTGCAACAAAACACGTCTCGCCATATGACGCTCAAGGAATCTGATACCTTTTATGTTCGGTAACTTGCATCTATAAAGGAATATAACCCTACTAAAATCAAAGAAAAATATTGAAAAACGTAAAAGTTGAAAAAAAATGAATTTTTTAATTCGCTTCCGTTAGCGACCGAAAGTACCCACGACGCACGAAAAGGCAAACCCGCACATCTAGAAGTCATGTTCTATGGTCTCCAACAATTCTCCAATTCATATCTTTAGCCGTTCTTTAGATCTCGCGAGGATAAAATTTCATTTCAAAATCAGAAAATGTCCATAACTTGGAACCGGAAGCGAATTTCTCCAAAATTCTTTCAAATGTAACAATGGCATTTTATAGCGCATTATCCCTGAAAGTTTGATGAAAAACCATTGAATAGTTCTCCAGATATTGCGTGCACAAGATTTGTCTAAAAAATCTATTTTTAAAATGTATTCCGGTAGACAATTTTAAAAACAAATTATATATTAAGCATTACAATAAGAGTCACTATTAACCCTATTAAAATCAAAGAAAAATATTGAAAAACTAAAAAAATGAAAAAAATGGACTTTTTAAATTCGCTTCCGGTAGCGACCGGAAGTATTCCCGACGCACGAAAAGGCAAACCCGCATATCTTAAAGTCATGTTCTATGCTCTCCAACAAGTCTCCAGTTCATATCTTTAGCCGTTCTTTAGATCTCGCGCGGATAAAATTTCATTTCAAAATCAGAAAAATGTCCATAACTTGGAACCGGAAGCGAATTTCTCCAAAATTCTTTCAAATGTAACAATGGCATCTTAAAGCGCATTATCCCTGAAAGTTTGATGAAAAACCACTGAATAGTTCTCGAGATATTGCGTGCACAAAATTTGTCTAAAAAATAAGAATAATAATAATAATAATAATAAGAAGAAGAAGAAGAAGAAGAAGAAACAGTAGAATCACTATAAGGTCTTCCGTGAAGACGGAAGACCTTAATAAGAAGAAACAGAGTAAAAACAATATGTTCCCAAACTTCGTTTGGGGAACATAATAAAGGGTGCTGATACAGAGTGTGTAATACAGGGCGCGTGCCTGTGTTAGTATCAGCGTGGGACATTTCTCTCCCTGGCGACTGATATTTCTGTGTCCAACAGAATGTTATTTGATCCTGGAATGGATTTTTCCTAAGGGTGTTGACAAGATAAATGAATGCACCTATAAAGGTCATTTAAAAGAGGACATTACCACTGTGATATTCATCAAAACAACCTTTATAATATCTTTAAGCATGTTTCGCACTTTTGACATTAAACAGGGAAATAATATGCATAGAAGGAGGAACTGACCGAGATACAGTGGATGATATCTCTTGTATGTTATTATCGACCAGTACATATAAATTCTTTAAAACTATGAATCTGTACTAAGTATATGTTTCCTATATTCGATATAACGAATTGTCGAATTTGTTAGAACGAATTTAATTCGTTATTACAAATTTTAGAATTCGTTTAAACGAATTTAATTTGTTATAACAAATTTGTAGAATTCGTTATAAAGAATTCAAAAATTTGTTATAGCAGATTAAATTCGTTTAAACGAATTCTAAAATTTGTAATAACGAATTAAATTCGTTTATACAAATTCTAAAAATTTGTTTTAACGAATTAAAGTCGTTTAATCAAATTCGACAATTGGGGCCTATAGAAAAGTATTTGTGAATTTGTTATAACGAATTCAACAAATCTGTTACAACAAATTTAATTTGTTATATCGAATTCAAAAATTGTTAAAACGAATTTAACTTGTTATAACAAATTTTAGAATCTGTTTGAACGAGTTTAATTCGTTATTACAATTTTTTGAATTCGTTATACGAATTTAAGATATCTGTTATAACAGATTTAATTCGTTATAACGAATTCAAAAATTCGTTTTAACAAATTCGACAATTCATTATATCGAATTCAAAAATATTTTTTGATAGGTCCTAAATGGGCTTCCGTATGTTTTTATCTTTTTTTTTTTTTTTTTACTATCTATGAAAAAAATTCATTCCAGGAAGTATTCTAAACATTCTATGAAAGCCTAAAAGGGTCAAATTAGGAAAATGAAAAAAGTCATAATAACGAGATAAAAAGTCGTTATTACGACTTAAGAAAGTCGTAATAACGAGATAAAATGTCGTTATTACGACTTATGAAAGTCATTAAAACGAGATAAAAAGTCGTTATTACGAGATAAAAAGTCGTTATTTCGACTTAAAAATGTCCTAATAACGAGATTAAAAGTCTTTATTTCTTATTATGGTATCATGTTCTCAAATTCCTACATGCTAAATCTTGATATTAAATGGAATTACTTTCCACAAATTACATCCTTGGTGTGGATTTTGAGAAATATAAGTTTCTTAGTAAATTAGTTAACTATATCAAAATGCTCTTGGGAATGACAGCATTTTTTTTTTCATATTGATCACATTGTAAATATGTGCTTGAAAAAAAATAGCTCAGGGGTTTATTTAATCGGGAGTGGGTGGGTTATAATTTGTGATGTTTACTACATTTTTGCGCTGTATATTGTTTTTTTTCCCTTCATCCGTCTGAGCCAATTGTGTCCATTCAACCACATGTATAAGCACAGGATTCAAAAAAAAAAAAAAAAAAAAAAAAAAAAAAAAATAGACAGTGATGCAACACAAGATAGACCAAATGTAATTTATTACACGAATTTTTAACAATGGAACAACCAGAAAGTGGTTTGTCAAATTAAACACGCAGTTCTTATAAATATAAATACTTGTAAAACAATACAGATAACAAAGTTAATAAAACTCGACTTGAAAAAAATGAAATAGACCCTTCATATTAGACACGTCCTTGCATATTAAGGAAAAAAAACTACCAAGAACACATTGAGAAGAGTACGGTGACTGATAAAAAAAGTACATATCTAGAGTAAACATGCGTAAGGCATGTCATTGATAAGTAAATTCAGCACAAGAAACTTTAGCACTAAAAATGTTTTGACGAACGTATGTGATGAACGACCACACTGTTGTGTATATCTGTCTACCGCAAAGTCTCGTCCTGTATTTTTTCTGACGCACTCTGTATTATATGATATTATTCAAACCAAAAAATCCCAAAATGATTTCATTGTAAGTTTGTCTATAAGCATTTTTTTCCCTAGGCGCTGTCTATTTCAACGATACAACTGTAACTTCATCGCGGGCCGATAGTGTCCCTGGCGCCACCATCTGGAAACAAGTTGGAGCAAGCGTACTAAACTCGCCGTCTGCCTTAGGTTTGACAGGGCGTCGATGACCTCTGGATGTTTTACTCCCAGACATTTCGTTTCCTCTCGGAATTTCTGGATCCAATTCCTTGATTTTCAATCCATGACCATGAGGTTTTTTCTCCATGTTGGCTAGGTCATTTGTCGTTATCGTTCTTTCGTGAAGCTGCTGTAGCAATTGACGAGCAACTTTTCCTTGTTTAGAATTCGGTGGGAATTCGTTGATATAAGCTTCTATTGCCTTTACGATGAGTTCGTCATATACCCCCGACACGATATCAATTTTTGGTAGATTCAGGGGCTGTCCGGGTTTTCGAGATCTCGGTGTTCCAAATGCTGTTCTCGGAATGGGGGCATTCATATATCTTTCAAAGTCTTCACGCCCACTCATTATTGTTGGCATGGTGTTTGGACGAGCCCCCAAATCAGAAATCAGTCCCCTCGGAATACCCATACCACCACCTCCACGAATGTTTGGCAAGTCGAATCCTTCTGCAAAGTGTACTTTCCTCCCTGGTTCATTTGCCAAGGTTTTGCGATAAACCTCCATGGCTTTACCTTCCATGGATGAATTCGACGATCCCAGATTTTTTCGCTGAAGATCTCCCGATATATAAGGAAGTTCTATCAGTCGTGGTGGCGAAGCTTTGCCTGGTTGATTGGTACGATTGTCGTTGAAATCCCGCAAATCACCCACCGACAGATGTCTGTCTGTATGACACTCATCGTCAGCTCTGTCCTGCATATTGTAAGTGGTGACAGTGACTGGGGTTGGCGGGGGAATTACGGGTGAGGATCCATAGAAAAAGGGGAAGTGCTTTCTAGTGACTATCTGCTTCTTCCCATTGCTAAAGTTACCATCACTTTTGGAAATAGTTGGGAAATCATCATCTTGTTTCTTTTTTCTGCGCTGGTTTCTCGAAAGTAGTTTATTTCTTTTCTTAACACTTGAATTGCCACTTAAGGAGCTTCCAAGACTGTTGTCGTCGTAAGAACTCGAACTTAAGTCCGTTTTTGATCTTTGCAGACGATCGACAGAAACGACGAAATAAACATAAGGCATGTCGGAGTTAGTGGGGGATTTGCGGCTTACTGATAGCGGAACCATTTCTACTCCTTTTGGAGGCTGCTGATCTTGTTGGGGTTTTTGTGAAGTATCCGGAATTACGTATGTGTGGGGAGTCCGCGGCATGAATGAGTCTCCAACTCTGGGAATCGGTCTTAAATTAATCGATAGTGTTTTCTGCTTTTCGGCATGCCTTGCTCTAGATTCCTCCAATTTTTGTTGAATGAACTCCATTCGTTTCCGAGTAAGTTCTTTTCTAGTCATATTATTAACCATTGGCTGCTTTTTGTATTTGACAATTTCGGTGTTTTTTTCATCATCCGTTTGTTCTTTTGTGTCGTCGCAAACGTTTGACGTTTCATTAGATCCCAAGCCTTCGGCAGTAAGAATGAAATATGGAGTGACTTTTGACGCCATCTTTATACTGTGCTTAACGTTAATTCTCAGTCTGTCACTGAAAAACAGATTAAAAATGCACAATAAATACTAATTCTATTGCAACTGGTTTGCAATCTGCATTTACTATAATGTTTTAGGCAGATAAACGAGCAGAAGGCTTTTTATTGTGACGTCATAATAGAATGACGTAAAAACACAAAACCATGCAAGCATAAACGTTTCGTATTTCATGTAACCAAACCCCCCCCCCCCCAAAAAAAAAACAACGAAATATTAGATGTAAACATAAAAAAAATGCATCAATTGCATAAGAATGGGAATAGCTTTATTTTCATTTGTTATTTACGACAGTTATGCAGATTTAACATTCGTAACCACGGGTTTTACCGGTTCAGCTTACATAGCTTACGCGTCGCCAGTAAAATTCAGTTTGCGACGGTTAAATCAGCATTATACGGATTATAACAAACGAGATATCAATTGTTCCTCAAGTGTTTATTTTCATGTCCTTGTCTTATCATTATGAATATCAAATATACATTTGAAATTCAGGTGCTTACTGCATTAACCATATAAAGTTACATTTGCTGTTTTTTATACTGTGGTGACGTCACAATGAGGCCTAATAATAATGATAATAAAAAGGGTCGGGTGGGGGTATATTCTAAGTGTTTGATGAATGGTAGTATTCCTTATGAATTTTTTCACTGTGATTGGTTTCTTTTATTAAGCATAGTCGCTTTTCAATAGATAATCCTTGGTAGACCAAGAACATTATTTCCAATGACACGTTATACAGTGTTCTTCCTTGAATGGCTGCATCACACACCAGAACAGGTGCCTTTTTTCCCATTGCTAGAGGTATAGGAAACTTCATTATGTTCAATATAACAGAATCGTGTGAAGTTTCTCAAGATGTCTTTCACGTCAACATGTCATACTCAGAGTGACAAATGCTTACTTTTAAATCGATATAACCATTACATATGTAAGACTTGGCTTTTAAACTAGTGTATCTCTTCATACGTTCGAATTTGGCGTCGTTGCATATTTATCCGAATTTTGAAAATATTTTTCACTTTTGCCTTCTCTTCCGGATTCGCAGTCGTATTTTTTTTTCTTTCCTTTTCTGAACTCAGGAATATAATCAATACTGTCTAGTATATTATCAAATTTAATCAATACTGTCTAGTATATTATCAGATTTCAAGCCGATACAGTCTTTAACATACAATGTAGCGAATGTAAGTAATTTCGAAGTATAAACTATTATAAGAGGAATACTAATCATTTATTAATTTCTGATAAAATTTATTTCTAAATTTAAGACTTTTCAAAGTCTTAATGAACCTAGATGGCCCTTTCCTCTTAAAGTAAAGGACAAGGTATGAACCCCTTCTCTGATGTATTGTTGCTTTACGTCCCTGGCAAGAATTTTTCAGTCGTATGAAACGTTACCATTCATCGACAAATGGCTTCAAATTTAGACCTTTACTCTGCACTCAGAGCCATTGAGCAGCGATGGTTCTCTATCGTGCCAACGCCTATCGAAAGAGGGATCCCGGGTTTTAAAGGTCTTATATGCCAGGCGCTTGCATGGCGAATGAACAGACACTACCTATGTTAACGTCGTAGGAATGACGCGGACCGTGAATTAGAATCGAACTTGGTACCTCCCTATCACGAAACGATCGCTCTAATACTAGGTTTCCCCTACCCCTTCTTTGATATAAAACTCAAAAACAGGATTGCATGATTTTAGTTCAAAGTGTACACGGAGGCCACACGAGGGTGACACATTAGAACATTTCACCAGCTTTCCTTAATTCTGATCGTTGTCACACTTGAGATACTTTTCAAATCGGGAAACATTCAGCGTACGTTTGCTTGTGATATTGTATCTGCTAGTAGTGCCTGATATACATGTATGTAAAGTTAGATATGTGGTGTTCCGATAGGGCCATTTGCAAAAGTGGAATAGTGCGTTAATAACAACGCGCCAGCGCGAAGTGACAACGTGCTAGCACAACTTTACACGGCACGCCGTCGCACTAACATTAAATATGCCGTCACGCTAATGCAACTATATAAACAACACGCTGTTGCGCTAACAAGCCACTAATAGTGTAAAGTTGTATCTACGCAACTTCGTGTTGTACAGATAGTGTGATCAGCGTGACGGCGTGTTGTGTAATAGCGTGTAAATATTGTGTAATAAAGTTTCGTCAGCGTGACGGCGTCTTGTTTGTAAGCTCGCCGCTGCGTTGTTACTAACGCGCTGTTGCACTTATGCAAATGTTCTTATGGGGACGCCATACTAATATCGGGCAAAGAGCAACTTTGAAAATGAGAGGGCCTTAGAAAAAATAATTCCAATATTTGAATAATACATTGAATACGTTTTATTTTCCATTAAAAACATTACTAACATGTATTTTTTTTCGATTTAATTTTAGAAACAGATTTTTAGCCAATCAAAATCCAAGAATATATTCTGCCAGAGATTAGTACATACCACTTCATGGTGTAAGACGAATTTTCTCGTCGGCGAGTAGAGTTTTGACGCTGTTTTCGGAGATAAAAGAAAATATAGACAAGCATACAATTTATGGTTGTATAGGTAAACTATTGTGAGAAGGCAATGATAATAACTTGCTTTTTCGAATTTTAAACCCTACTCATATTCTGAAATATTTTAAAAGATACATGTCCACTTACATATTTTTTATCTATGCATAAAAATCCCATTATGGACAGAGAAATAGGCCCGGAAACATGGAGAACTAAAACTCCACTTAGATACTGTAGGGTATAGCATTTATCAATCAATATCTCTAGAATAAGGTAAGAAACCTAATGATATAACTGCTTTAAGATATGTGGGACATACTTAATTAGAAATATACAAAATATGAAGAAAAAAAAACTGAATTACAAGACGATAGTATTTTTTTCAGTTCAAGGTCCTTCTTCCCCTTAAAAAGAACGTTAAATCTAATATCTATCTACAATATCCATTTAATCAAGGTTAGTTTATTCAGGCGCGGGTGCAGGAATTGAAGTAAGGGGGCGCAAAAAGTAGGCAGAGGGTCTGGGGGCGCCTTGAGGCCCCCAGTGGGTCCATGGCGAAGCCCTGGTTGGGACGTGGATTTTAGAGATTTTGTAGGGTAAAAATGAGGTCTACCGAGTAGACATTTTCAAATTTTCTCGACGAAACTATGATTTACGCTAACTTTGACAGTTTCAGGGTGCGCGCGCCGGGTGCGCCCCCCCCCCCCAAATCCACCACTCTTATTTATTATTTGTAAACTTTCGATTGGTTATCGCGAGAATTCGTTAAGGCGCCATATGCAATATTATAGAGCATTATAGGTACTGAGTTTACCGAGTAAAAAATCGTTTGGATCAATGTTCACTGTCCGAATTTTCTTTTCGCCCAGGCGTTGCTTTATGAGCTTCGCGCCGCTCGCTGTGCTCGCTTTTATTATACTATGGGTTTAAAAATTAATGTTTTAGAGTGCCACCGTTGGGGGCGAGCGCAGTTGTATACTATAAAGAAAAACCTTACATATCTTACACTTTCAACTTTGATCCGCCTTCTCAAACTTCAAACCGTACGAGACAATACGTCATATGACGTCGTATGTAAGATGCATTTCCTTGAGTCTAAATAGGCCTTTTGCAATTTTGTTTGTTTGTTGTTTATAACGTCCCTCTCGAGAATTTTTCACTCATATGAAGACGCCACCACTTGTCGGTGGAGGGCTACAAATTTGACTTATACTCTGCACTGATGGCCATTGAGCAGTGAGGGATCTTTTTCGTGCCAGCACCTACTGCGACACGGGACCTCGATTTATACGGTCTCATTCGAATTTAAGGACCGGTCACCACATCCCGCGGTGGGATTCGAACCCGCGACGTAAAGATCAACTTCTTACTCCCCGACTCTAGAGCAGACCCTCTAATGCTTCGGCTGGCAAAACCAGTTTTAATATCAATAACATAAATTTTAGAATTTTCTCACGCACTCTTTGTAAAAAGAATCGATCCATAGATAAAATACTGGGCCTTCAGAGGGCAGATAAATTATCAAATCACTAAAGTTGGCCTGATATACATTTTGAAATTCGTGAATCTGCGCCAAGAGAGGGTGTTGAGACAATGATCTTAAGATTTTTTGAGTGACTAATTTACAATTATACTAAATTTGACAATTCTTGAATCTTAACCACTCATATTTCCATTTAAAAAAAAATCAGTTGACTTCCGTATAAACTTTCCGCCACTTTTTTTTCGATAAAAGGGGAAATCATACTCCGAGAAAGAAAGAAAGGGGGAAATTTGGCTCTATTATGAGATTTCCCCTCGTGGGGGAAATCCAACTCTAGAGTACAGATTCAAAAGGGAGCTGGATATGGGGGAAACCCTACTCTGCAACACTGAATACCGGTATTCAATCTCGTGTATACATTTATTCTTTAAAATAAACTAGGGAGTCATGTTATACTGTCAGAAAGAAGGTACGCCATTCCTGAATCGTTAGATTTCTAACTGAAAATATTAATTATGAACCGGTCTTTGCATAGCAATGTATTTGCCAAAGTCCAGGATTACATCTGTATTTTACATTGGTAACGCCAAGATCATCGTTTTAGAAATCCAAAATATGAAAAATTATGAAACAAACCAAATGAATTTGTCTGAGAAATTTGACTTAAATTTTCCTAAAAAATTTAATTTAATTGATGGTTACATTATCTTTAATACATACTCTCTGTCATTAATAAAACTGATTATTAATTGTAAATTACAGAGATTAAAAATTTCTTCCATTTCGAAGAAGCATATCGGTTTTGGAAGATTGTCTATTGGTGTATTTTTCTGCCTGTCACAAATTTGTTTCTGGAGTATAACTCTCTAAGCTTTGATCGGGATGCATAAAAATCTAGTATGTTTTGTCCATTCAATTCCTCACAAGTATCCCACTACATACTTTTTGTTCATAGGCATATAGCTTGGGAAATCTTGGAAAAGTGGGAGATATCTGTTTTGGTAAACCATAAAAAAAA